AGCCCCCAGTTGCTGGGGGGTCACAGAGCACGCAGGGAGAAGCACCTGGACTGGAACCTAAGGGTTTTCACTCTGACTCCGGCCCTCCCTCTAAAGGCCTTTCCTTCTAGAAACATCCAGTAACCTGAGCCCTTTAAGAGGAGGAGGGCTTGCAATGCCCCTTGCCTTGCAGACTGCCCTGGTCAGCCAAAGGGCTCTGGCAGGCTGGGAGCCTCATTGCATGACGACATTGCCCTGGGGCATCAGAGCACGGCTCAGCCAGTGGCACCCTTGCGAATTCTTGGACTGGCCCCCGGGGCCTCGTCAGCACACCCAGGTCTCTTGTCTTCCCTTTATGGTTGGGTCATGGGTTGGGTCCCCTGGGGCATCCACAGCCTTTCCCTTTCTCTCAGTCCTGGAGCCCTCAGACTGAGGCCAAGTTCAGACGGCTTGGGGCCAGAGTGGAAGCACCTGACACAAAGCAAGAGGCCGGGGTTCAGCGTTAATTGAGGAGTCTGTCCTTCACATCACAGTGTCGGAGTGAGCTGGGCAGTGTATTTGGGACAAGCTCTCCAGCTAACTCATACTTGCTTCACCACAGAACCCAGAGCCAAAGAAGGCGCTTCATTTTCCAAAGAGGGAGGCAGAGTCCCAGAGGGGTTAAGTGCTGGGCAGGGGTGCATATCAAAGGAAACTGGGGCTCTGTGACTCTGGCCCAGGACCAGGAACTCTCCACTCTGAGCCTCCGTTCCCACCTAGGACGCTGTCACTTTAAAAAAAAAAAAAGATTGTATTTATTTATTTGTCAGAGAGGGAGAGAGAGAGCACAAGCAGGGGGAGCAGCAGTGGGAGAGGGAGAAACAGGCCCCATGCCGAGCACGAAGCCCAATGCAGGGCTCAATCCCAGGACCCCGGGATCATGACCTGAGCCGAAGGCAGACGCTTCACCGACTGAGCCACCCAGGCGCCCGACAATGTCACGTTTAGGTCCCTTCTAGCTGACAATCTGCTCTACAAGGTGTAAGTCCAGCCTTGGTCCCCTAGAGCCAAGCAGAGTCTCACATGGTGGAGGCAGTGCCTCCAAAAGAACAATTCTTCAGAGTCCTTCTTTAACGGAACAGAGGCCAAGCTTTCACAGTCCCACCCCAAAGCCTTGAGATTCCTCATTATCAAAACAGGCATAGAAGACAGAGGAATAAAAAGGACGATGAGGGAAGGCAGGACAAGGGCAAGTGTGGTGCCTATCAGTGCTCATTCCCGTACTCCTTCCTGCTGATTTCCATCCCAGGGGTTCGGAAGAAGCCAACTTCTGCCCCCTGCTCCAGGAGTGAGACCTTGGCTAAGTCCATCGTTGAGGTCCATCTACCTGCAAACAGTGATTGGGCCAAGAGTAGGCACTGGCCCGGTGAGAAAATTTCAGGATATTTGCTGAAAACATAGGAGAAAAATCATTTTCTGTCTCTTTCTGGATATAAACGAAGAAGAACATAACCAAGGAAGTGCTAAATGCTGGAAGCCATCTTGCAACCGATAAGAGAACCAGCTTTAACTGAAATTGACATCATAGGAGGCCAAGTGAAGAAATAGAGAAAAACCAGGTCTTCAGAGGCATCTTTAAGCTGCTGGATCAAGCATTGCCTGCAGCACACATTCTAGACTTACATAAGCCAATAAATTCTCTTCATTATATAGAGCTCAGCTCGAACTAGATTTCATTACTTTCAACCAAAAGATTCCTGATACTACCTCCCTCTAGTTCTGAAACATGATATAATGGTTTAGCTGTTCCTCATGGTAATAAGGCTCCTTCATAGGCCATGTCTCAGCTGCTATATTAGCCAGGTGAGTGTTACTTACCTCACTAAAGTGCTGAGCTTCCCATCTCTGGAAGCACTCAAGCAGAGGCATTTTGAATAGAGAATAATAGCAGATGCTAAGTCTGTGCTAAGAATTCTACAGACAGGATCTCGTTCAGTTCTCACCACAATGCACATGAGATACTCTGTGTATTATCCTGGTGTTCCAGCATCCTATCTGCGGAGTCTTCGATTTATCTTCTGTTTCAACTCCACTCTCCTGTCAAGTGTCTTCTTCGGGCAATCCCAGCAGCCTCACAGCCAGTCTCTCTCCCTCCAATCTAGCCTGTACCTCCTATCCATCATGCTCAGCCCAGCCCCAGAGGGACCTGTGCAAAATGCAAACTGGCAATGTCTCTTGCTGCCCCGCAAACACCCTCAGTGGCTCCCCAGTGCCCCCAAAATAAGCCCTCAGCCTTCACGCAATATACTGAAGTGGCTCCAGTAAGTCCTTGCATGGACATTTTCCTGCGTACACCAGAGAGACTACCGCCTCTTCTTCCCCCGCCCCCCCCCCACCCCCAGCTCATGGCACCATGGGAAGGCACCTGACCAAAGGGCAGCCAATCGATGGCCAGAAAGGGGACCACCAAGTGACTGTGGTGTTGTGGACGGAATGTTTGTGCCCCCCAGAATTTGCTATTGAAATCCTCACCCCCACTGTGATGGCATCTGGAGGTGGGGCCTTTGTTCTCTTGCCCTCCCTCTCTGCCATGGGGGAAAATAGCTATGACCCAGAAAGCCCTTCACCGGACACCAGATCTACTCTACCTTGATCTTAGGCTTCCCAGCTCCGAACTGAGAAATGCATGCTTGCTGTTGCAGTCACCCAGTCTGGGGTGTTTTTGTTACAACAGCTCGAACTGACTGGGACACCTGGAAGGAGTGACTGGTCCATGAAGGTGAAGGTGAGCGTGCAGATCCATCAGACCCTGCTGGTGGCGGGGGTGGTGGGGCGGTAGTTCATGCTTCTCAAATGCTCTGGTCACTCCCCCTCCTCTCCCAACCTCCCTGGCAGTTAGGTGGGGCCACCTGGCTACTTCTCACCAATGGATTGTGAAGATAAGCATCAAGAATATTAAGAACTAGTGGGCCTCCCCTGTCCCTCTCTTCTCTTGCCATGAGAGACTCTGGAGGCCACACGTTCCAGGGAATACTCGTGTAATTGTGTAAAGCTACCAGGGTTTCAGGGTCTATCTGTCGTCACAGCAGAGCCTAATCGATCCTAACCAGTACATGCTCAAGAATTTGAACTGAAGACACACATTGAGACTTGAACACAAGAGGGTTTCGTGTTAATGTCAAAGCTCTAGGCTGGCAACCAATGAGTTTTGCTACTGTGCAGAAGATGAGATAATTCGGTACAAAAAGAAGGTTCAGTCCTGAACAATTTTATGTTGTCAAAGTACCTTCCAACAGGGGCGCCTGGGTGGCTCAAGTCAGTTAAGCATCTGCCTTTGGCTCGGGGCATGATCCCAGTCCCACATTGGGCTCCCTGCTCAGCGGGGAGTCTGCTTCTCCCTCTGCCTCTCCCCTCGCTTGTGCTTGCTCTCTCTCTCTCTCTCTCAAATAAATATATAGAATCTAAAAAAAAAAAAAAAAAAAAAAAGTAACTTCCAACCTCTATGAGGCCGGGCTCTCCCAAGAATCTTGTTCATCCTGTGATGCTGGTTATGCTATATGCCTGGTTCCCTCAGAAGCTTAGCCCTAATTCTGGAAGCTCTTTTATTCCCACATGTATCCTCACAATTACCCTATTAGTTGAAGTTACTCAATTGCCTCTGCAACCCAAAGAGGCTGCCAACATACCAGACCTTTACGATCTGGCCCCTGCTGACTTTTCCAACCCTACCTCCTCCATATGTTTCCCAAGACCCCCAGGCCCCAGCCCCAAGCACCAGCCACATTTGCCAAAGTCACCCAGCCCCCTCATGCCTCTGGGCTTCGTAGTTCTTGCTTTAGCCAGGACCGCTTTTCCCGCTGCCTCTCTGCCTATTAAAAGGTCATTTGTCCTTCAAACCCCCATTCAAAACACTCCTTTCATGAGGCTGCCACCGTTTCTCCATAGTATTCAAACACCAAGTTGATCTGTTTCATTTTGTTTTTACCTCTAAGACAGGTATAGTAATAATTCTTACTTTACAGGATGGCCGAGAGAGCCAAAGGAAACAATGAGAGAGAAAACCCTTAGAAAAATGAAACAGACTGTGTCAACATAAATCCAAACTGTGACTGTTCTCCCCTGCAGGACCATGTTTCATTCTGGCTGATCTTGTGGTTTGCTGTGCGCCTTCCTCCTTTTCTTGCATCTATTAGGATGGTTTTGGTTGCATAAAGAAATTCTGCCTACCGCAAGCACCCTCCCCATAAGAAAAAAATGCAAAGGAAATAAATAGAAGGGGTAGCAGTTAAGAGGTGCGTCTGATTACAAGTAATGGAACCCCCCAACAGAGCTGTTTGAAGCATAAAGGATTCTGAGCAAGAAGCCTAAAGGGAAGTTGCTGCCTGATATCTGTGCAGCGCTTCTAACCTTTTCCTCATGCTTACAAGGTTTCTGCCCCAGCCCCAGCCATCGTGTCCACATCCCAATAAGAAGAAGGAGAAAGGGGAGAGACGTTGAGGGCAGATGAACACTCATTGGCTAAGCCACATGGCCACCCCTAACCGTAAGGAAGTCTGGGCAGGTGAGCTTTGAGCCTTCCACTTCCTAGAATAGAGAAAGCACAGCGGGAAGAGACTTGGGACGTGTGTTGAGTGAACCAACCTAGAGTACCTACCATAAGGAAGCCCTCAGAAAGGAAGAAAAGCTGAAGAGCCAGAAGGCAGGAATTAGCAGGCAGTTACCTTCAGGGTGCTGCTAACCGAATCACTCAGTTCTTGCCACGTTTAATTCTTGCGTCACAATTTACTTTCCCAGTGTCCAGTTCTCCAGTTTGAGACAAATGGCCACCTATTGTCTGGGAGAGTGCAGACTTGACTGGAAATACCCCAGTGTGGCACGCAAGGACGGACCGGGAGACCCCATAAAGAAAGTGCTAGGGCTGGGCAGATGAGAACCAGTCCTCTTACGTTTCCCCTCTTAGGGTGTGAGCTCCCCAGAGACAGACTCATCTGACTCTCTCATCTGGGAATCTGCCCCTCTATGCGGCCAAATGATTCGCTCACCAAATCCGCCGTGACTGGGGTGATTTCACTCTTCAACCCTCCGGGGCCAGCTTGTTTTCTCCTCTCTGTTTTGGTTTGCGTCCTTATCTTTGTCCTCAGAGAGAGCGTGGGTCTTGAAGCTAGACAGATGAGGGATGGAATTCCAGCTCCTGGAACCTTCCCTCTGTGGCTTTGCTCAAGATACCTTACATCTCTATGCCTCCGTGTTCCTATCTGCAAAATAGGAAGACTTAAACCAATCACATGAGGTTGCTAATAGCAGAATTAAACAACATGGTGCATATAAAGCCCTCAGCACAGTGCTGGGCACAAAGTAGACACTCCAGTATCAATGGCCCATTAGCATTTTTGTGTAGGAATTTTAAGCAATAAGAGTGCAATGAACAATTCTCCATATCCAATTCCCCAAATATTCCTGTTTGGATTCTTACAGATTGCAGGTTTGATATTTGAGGAGAGAGCAAAGTTCTAATCTTTCTAGTTCATCCTAAAAATAGTTAGCTCTTCTCTGTACATTCTGTCAGCTCAGCAATTCCCATCTAGGGAACTGGGAGATTGTGAAAGGCAATCTTTCTAAACAGGGGTCAAATGTTTTTCTTTACCCCAGAGTAACTCACAGAAGATGCACATGAAGGGAAAGAGCTGACCCAGGAGGACGGGGGTCTTCCCACCCAGGCTGGGGTCTGGGGTCTGGAGTCTCAAGTATATAGGGCAAATGGTACATGATTCATCCTAGGAAAAGGGGTATTTTTCTCATATTTCTTCATTCAACCATTCAAGTGATCTGAAAGACATTTACTGAAAGCTACCAGCTCAGAAACCGGTAAATGCAGCAGAGACAGAATTAATTAGGGTGTGCCCGCCCCTAGAGATTTCATGATAAAGCTATTTGTTGAAATCTTCAAGCATTCAATTATAATAATACATAATAAATACTATTATTTTTATTGAGCATTTATTAGGTGCCATTCACAATTCTAAAGCTTTACACACATCATTTACTTTTCATCTTTACCTTAACCTCATGAGGTAATTACTTTATACCCATTCTGCTGATGAAAACAGAGGGGTATATCAAGAGTGAAATAACTTATCTGGGTCCTTTAGAAACTATCTGGAAAGCTTTCCATCATTCCTCTCCACCAGTGCTGGGGGGCATCTAACAGATGAGGGGTCAGCAGTTGTCATAGAAACAGCAAAAGAACTTGAATCTAGTGCCACTTTGCTGCTGGCAAGCTAATAACAGCCCCAGACAAGTTCTTCTCCATGCTCAGGCAGCTCTCTCCCCGAGAAGTTCTTTCCCAACAACTTCTCTGTGTAGCTACAACCTATTCATCTTTCAAAGTCCAGCTCCACTGCCACCCCATCAAGAGAACTTTCCAGAACCCCCATGCACACCACCTAGCTACGATCTCTCAAACCTCCGTGTTGTTCCATTTCTATTGACCTTTGAGTTCTGCCAAAAGTTATGATGGGCTGTGTATTTGGCTTATTTGTCTCTGTTTAATGAGTTTCCCTCCAAAGCAGAGACATGCTCTAGTCAACTCTCTATCTCCAGACACTGGCATTCATGTGTGGATTAAAGGGGTACTAAACCCATAGTGCTTGGCTCATTGCAAGCCTTGTGCTCAGCAACCACAGACAGAATAGAATTGAATGTGGAAATAGACAAAATGGCAGTGCAAGGAGAATCCCTTGTCTCCCAGCGTGGAAGCATGTTGAAAAGATGTCAGCAGGTGCTTCAAACAAGAATGGCCAACAGGTTAGACAACCAGACCTTCTAAGATTTAACAATTAGACTGCCCTTCGACATAACCAGCTCTGTCCTCTCAAGCAAGCTGATGGATCCCCCAGTTGCCATCCAGAGTAGATGAAAAACAGAAGTCGTATTATTATCTTGTGCAACTTTTGGGGAAAACCACAGCTTCAACTCCTATGGCTTCCACACCCTCTTCTGTCATTCTCTCCCCATTCAACGTTTTCCTCCCATCCACAGGAAAAGCCAAATGTTCCTCACTTTCAAACCTGTTTCATAAAAAATCAGATTTACCAAGAGTATAACTCAGGAGTAATGATTTACTTTACCTGAAATCACTTACTTAAAAAAAAAAAAAAAGATTTTTTAATTGGCAAATTACCAACATGGTACATTGAGAGTGTACTTTAATTTTCAGAGACTCAATACATAAGTTTGTTTTTCCCTGAACACATGTCAGGTGCGTTATGGAGTCAGCAAAGGCACTGGTGGAGTGAGGATGGAATCTCTGGGGAGAACTCGAATGGGGGAGGGCTAGTGAGAATCTGGAACCTGACTCCTCCCCAAAAAAACCATCTGCAATGCCTCTAGAGTTGATTTTCACAAAAATATGTGCCTTGAGCTGATCCACCGGAAGTAAAGAGTCCCCATGATTAAAAGAGTTTAACAAGTGTACCTGCTCTGTTCCTGCCTTTAAAGATCCTGATCATCATTTGGTTATTCAAGACTGTGAGGAACCCAAAAGTAAAGCAGCTTGTTTCATTTTTATGTAATCTTATTATAGAATTTCTAAAAATAGGCTACAGAATTCCTTTCCAGAGGAGGTAATCTTGAGAAAGACAATAAAGTGAAGTGGGTAAGAGCCTGGTGTCTGTGGCCAGACAGCCTGGGTCTGGATCCCAGCAATGCCCCTCACTCTCTGTGTGACATAAGCACGCTACTCTACCCATGCTCTGTGCTTTCATTTCCTCATCTGGAAAATGTGGATGATAAGAGGACCTACCTCATTAGACAGGGTGGATGTGACAACTAAAAGCACTAAAATATATACAATTCTTGGAATGGATCCTGTATATAGTAAGTGCTCAATAAATATCAATTATTTAGAATGTAAGGCTCATATATTATCCAACAGCATGAAGACACAGTTGTTAAATATCTCAGAACATTCTTCCTGCTTGGCCCCTAAATTTCTGGGGAACAGTAAAATATAACCTAACTATACTAGGAAAAACCAGCCAAGAAAACATGGGGTGTAAGGAAGACATGACCAGGTCTTGGTAGTGATCCATGAGGACCCCCAAACAATGGAGGAGAGAATTGAAGTGCTCCAAGGCTCTTGGTTACTAGCACGGCCTGTGGAGGGCAACCGCTGAGGGTAAAGCCCACGCACACCCCACACACGCTGTGTGATCCGAGGCGAGCAACCTCACCTCTCTGTGCCTGGGAATAAGAACAGTACCGACCTTTCAGAATTCTTTTTTTTTTTTTTAAAGATTTTATTTATTTATTTGAGAGAGAGAGAATGAGAGACAGAGAGCACGAGAGGGAAGAGGGCAGAGGGAGAAGGAGACCCCCTGCCGAGCAGGGAGCCCGATGCGGGACTCGATTCCGGGACTCCAGGATCATGACCTGAGCCGAAGGCAGTCGCCTAACCAACTGAGCCACCCAGGCGCCCCCCGACCTTTCAGAATTCTTGTGAGGATCAAATGAACAATTAGGTGAACAGTGTCTGGCTTCTAGCAAGTAAAGTGTAGCCCTGATTATTCTAGTCCTATGGTAGTGATGTCAATCCTTTTGCTTCTCGTTTAGTTTTGTTTTTTCTTGGAAACACAGCCTCACAGACTCTTAGAGTTAAAAAAGGGTCCAGAGCAACATCTTTATTTTGCTGACAAAGAAATAAGGCCCAGAAACAAACCGTCATTTTCCTCAAGTCACGTGGCAAGTGGGAGATGAAGGTAAGGAGCAACCTTCCTTCCGTGAGATGCAGACAAAGATGGGTCACCTTTCCTGGCTGCGTGGGCCCCAAGGGAGGAAGTGGGTCTCTAGAGAGAGGCATGAGCATGGCAGGAAGTGGGCACACATTCCCATGCCCAGAGAGCAGGGGAAAATGGTCCCAAATCAAACAGTGTTCCGTTAGGCCCTTGGCCACATGAAGCTCTGTTGATTTTCATCCCATGAGCAATGGAAAAGACTAACCGTGATTCCCTCATGCACTCTGCAGTGTTGTCCTTGAAGAACATTTACAGTCAATATCTCACCTGATTTCATCCTCCTGTCAAATTCCTATGGTAGGTGTTGCTATCCTTATTTTTAAAGACTTCCAAGGGCTACCTGGGTGGCTCAGTCAGTTAAGCATCTGCCTTTGGCTCAGGTCATGATCTCGGGGTCCTGGGATGGAGCCCCACATCAGCTCCCTGCTCAGCAGAGAGTCTGCTTCTCCCTCTGCCCCTCGCCCTGCTTGTGTGTTCTCTCTCTCTCTCTTATGTTCTCTCTCTCTCGCAAAAAAAAATAAATAAAATCTTGAAAAAAAAAAAAAGACTTTCAGAGAAGGTAATGACAAGCTAGTAAGTAGCTCAGTGAGGACCCAAAGTCAGTGACGCCTGACTCCAACCCCTGCCTCAGGGTGTACCCACCCCCACGTGCAGGAGCCCCTAACTCCAATACTCAAATTTGACACAGACTTTACATTCTTACAAGCCACAGAATAATTCTCCTATGACGTCCCTACAACTCATGTCTCAGTCTCACCCCCCCGAGGGACCTCCTCTGACCAGCCTGTCCACTGAGCCATCCCCGCTCCTTTGGACACCTCCAGGGCTTGCTGTCCACACCCTGATGGACACCTGCCAATCACCGCCCGGTTTCATCGTTCCAATTCCAGTTTAGCTAGCAGGCCCCATGCACCTACTGTGTGCGCGGCTCTGCGTTGGATAACTTCCACACTCCGTCTCACCTCATTCTTACAACCATGCAAGGGTGCAGGGGCTGTGGTCCCCATTTTGCCAAGGAGAGAACAGAAGCTCCAAGGCCTGACGTGAGGTGCCATATTTGTTTTCTCTGTGGCCCTTAGATACTACCACAAACTCCGCAGCCTACAGGACACAAATTTATTATCTCACAGTTTTGAAGATCAAAAATCTGACCTGGGTCTCATGGGGCTAGATTCAAGGTGTCAGCAGAGCCTCAATCCTCCCTGGAGGCTCTAGGGAGAATCTATTTCCTTGACTTTTCCAGCTGCTCGGCCTTCCCATTCCTTGGCTCGTGGCCCTTGCCTGTTTCCAAAGCCAACCATGCGGGTTGAGCCCCTTCTCACCTTGCATCTCTCTGATCCTTCCTCTCTCTCGACAACGCTCCCTCCAACTGCAGCCAGGAAAGGTTTTTCACTTTTAGGAATTCCTACGGTCAGATTGGGCCCGTCGGGACAACCCAGGATAATCTCCTCACCTCAAATTTC